AGAGACACACTCACTAAGGATTTTCTCCACTGAGTGCCAGTGCAAGCTAGACCTTCTTCTTACACATATGAGGCAGTATAGAACTGATCTGATAACTCATTCTTGAAGTTCCTGCAAAACTCAAGGAACTGGCTGCCAGAAAAAAGCTCAGAAGTTGAAGGTATATACCCTGAACTTCCCATTAAACTTTACAAGCAGGGACACAAAGCAAACCAAATAACAGTGGCATAGAGAATTGCAGCAACAACTCCAGTAAAGTTTCCAGTCTTGTACCTTCCCTCACTTATATCTATTGCAGTGTCCCCATCTAGGAGCAGATATCCATGTGTAGTCACTCTGTCTGCATTTCTAAAATGGTTCAGGTAATACTCTCTGGACCTCAAGCCAACTGGCACAGCACTGCTCACATGCGTATGACTGTTCTCACTTGTCCCCAAGACAAGGCAGTACCCTCCAAACGCTTAGTAAGCGGTAACTGGCCTGTGCTAAACCCAAACTGTGTCCAGGCACTGTCTATAAGAATGATAGCTGACTCCCACTAAAACTGTGCTTGGGACCATGCTAACTAATTAGCTGCACAGCCTACTGTATGGCAATATTTATGTTAATTAAGGGCCTTATTAATACTTTTGTTACTATTACCATAATACTATGTTCCACCCCAGTGCAGAGCTGAGGATGTAATGGCGTTTTGTAAAAAAACTAAACGAGCCTCACAGTACCCATTCAGAGAAGGACGTGGGTTTTATCCAGTTTACAAACTAGGAGACTGTGAGATCAAAGGGCTATACAATTTACTTCTTTCCAATGAAATGGTAGTAAAGAGCCAAGAGTAAGGGATAGGACTCCTGATTCTTATTGCTCATATTTAGCTGCTGGACTACTACCTATGATGTTAAATTATTCATCATTTCTCACAAGGAAGGCAGGCATGCACTCACAAGAAAGGCTGTGTGCAAAAAAAAAAAAGGGTTATCAAAGTATTCACACACTCTTTCAAAAGAGTTACCTATCTGACAAAAATATGCTGCTGTAACACATTTTCATGTGTAGGTAGCAATTCTTCTCTACATTCCAGGGCTGGAATCCTGTGTGGGGAAAACTGAACTGCTCAGTATAATGTAAAAGACAGGCCTCATTAACTCTTGGACATCTTCTCATTTCTTGGTCATAAATCCTATTACCTTGTATTACAAACTGCCATAAAACTCACAGATAAAAGATAATTTATGCTCAGTGTACAGAAGCTAATGTTTCTGTACTCCTGAGAAGCACACAACCAGAAAATGAGAAAGTATGTATGTGAAACCTTAAGCCATTCATATTGAGCATGGCTAGCATGATAAACATGACTCTAAGGGCCTAATGCTCTTCAGCTAGGGTATATTCTAATGATAATTGATATTACCAAAATTTCAAGCATAAAATGTACAGACTGTTGCATAAAATATCCTGCTTATAAAGAGCGATTACTCCTTATTAAGAATTCAGGCTCTGCTTCCCCCCCCCCCCCAACTACAGAAAGAAATATGATGGCTATTCAGTACAGAGATACTTTTTTTTTCAATTCCAAACCACATTAGAAAATGCTTCAGAGCAGGCTTCACCTCCTGGAATTCTTACACAATCTCCCTATTTCTGACACCCATCCTAATCAGTGTTGCATGGCACACAAAAACTAACAGCCCTTGGAGTTGGCAAAATCAAAGGCAGCTCAATCTCCTATTTGCTTTTTCTCTGGAGCAATTTGAAGTCTTCGGACTTCAGCACTGATTTTAACTGTGTTGGTTATCTGCTCAAAAGAATATTTTTCTTTAGTGAACACTGAGCAAAAGATGCATTAAATTTACGCTATTTGTCATTAGTTTTCCTTTCCCATTCAGATAAGAGAAAATCTTTTGCTGTCAACTAACAACTTCTGTAGTTCCAAACTATGTTCTCATTGCTTGGGCCCTTCCATAGATGCACCTCATTTCATGCCTGCTGTCTTTTCTCAAGTACTTGTTTAGTAATTTGACCTATATTGAAATTCATTTATTTAAATTTAGATACCTACAGTGTATACCTAGATCTCAGCCTACCACCCAGTTTCTCCATAGAGTTCACGGATACATGTATTTATGGGGTGTAATTGTTCCCACCTTTTTTCTCCTCTTCACTTCTCAGTGTAGTTCATCCTTACAGATCAGAAATGAATATAAAAGAGTTTACTTCCTTGTAGTTTTCCTCACTTTCCATGCCAAAACATTTTTATCAGTATATTTCAAAAACTTGCACTGTCTGTCCATCTATTTCCCTAGAGATGCCTCAATACTCAAAGTGCCAATTACCCTTACATTCAGCACTTGGATAATTTTATTTGCTGATGAAAAAAGGCTTTGTTTACCTGGTCCTCCTTGCTTGGTAGTCTGCAGTGGATCCCAAACCAGGCATTGTCCTTGCTGTCTTCCTCTATCACCCTGAAGACTTTTAGCAAGTCTATAAGCCTGTTTCCTACAACACTGTGGACTCTTTACAAGTGTGTTGAATATTGATATATTTCTTCTGCTGTAGCCCTCTATATCAAAATTGTAATAATGCAAAATAACTGTTTCAAAGCAATTACTTAATAGATTTTATGGTATACTTAGATATCTACTCACACCATCCTCCTCTTAGTTTCTGCATTAGTAACTAAAAATTCAGCAGCTTGACTTGCTATTCCCCTTTGTATCCTTCCTAGGGATGTTACGGGATTATCAGTTTATCTGCTCTATCCAAGCATTTTAGCCTCTGCCTAGGTACACATGATAGAGAACTAATACTAGTCTCCCGTTATAGTGAACGGAGAACTAATGTTATTTTAAAGCAAAAACATGGTTATACTTTGCTCATGTATTTTATCCATAGAATCCAATGAAGACAAGATTCTTCTTCCCCAAGAGAGAAAGGTTTCAGATCTACATTTTATAGAAAAAGCAACATGCTCTTAACTTTATCATTTGCATTAGCATTTGAATCTCAAAACCTTGCTTCATTTGTTGCACAGTTTCCAGACTTGCGTTTGAAAAAGTCAGTGGATCTCCCACTGTGTTCAACTCCCTCCTACCTTGATTTTAAATTACAAAGGGGAGAGGGGAAGAAGAGAGAATGTCATGATTGCGGCTGTTTACAAGAGAAAAATATCATGCTGAACTCCATACAAAAAAAAAAAAAAGAATACTTCCAAGCTTAGGATCCTCATTTCTTTCTGTGTATAAACTACTCACTTGATTTTTATCTAAACTATGCAGGATTAATGTTATTATCTGGAGGTACCACGGCAGTTGACTGAAGATGCTGACAGTGACAAGTTTAAACCAACGATGAAAAGCAATTTTGTGTCAAAGTTAGCATTAAGATTGTTTAAATGGCCTGCCCCCTATATCTGCCCTTTATTTCTGAATGCCAGAAACAGCCTGAAGTTAAAGAAGTCAGTTACTGGCAATGCAGACTGACAGCAGGAATGGCAGAAAAAAATAATATCCTGTAGAACTCTCCCCATCAACAAAAAAGTATTAAATGCTTCTCACACGGCATTATTAAGAAAAGAACATTAAAAAGTTTCCAGCAAGCCCAAACAATTAGCAACCTCCTATTTCTATTTAAATGCACAGATCATGAAGTTTTTTCAAGTTGCAAAGGGTTTGGTTTTTCATTGAAGACTCTTCTGAAAGCAACCTTAGGCATTTTAAAGCCACTTATGGAAATGATGAATGAAAAGAATTAAAAGTCTTTCCAGTCCAAGTATGCGTTTTGTAAGCTAAATTGGGAATTCTCCATCTTATTTCAGCTTTCCAATAGGTTCTTAGAAATATCCTAAAATTAAGTTACAGTGGTCAGTGAAGTACTGCACTCACAGATCAATCACAAGTGAGGTACTCCTCACTTTCAGATCTGAACCACAGTTATCCTGTAGCCCCCTTTCCCCCTTACTCTGCTGCCTCTATCTATTTAGCTGTGCAACTAATGATCAGAGTCATTCCTCGTCATACTGGCAAATGAGCTCCTGTGCCTACTATCTTTCCTGCAGACACAGTGCTTCAAAGTTGTTAATACAGCACCTGCCCCTGTGGATTTAAATCTATAATCTCATAGAACCTTATTAATGCTTTTTTCAAATTACAATGAAGCACATGTGGTGCAGGGTTTTGTCAAATTTATCTGTGAATGTTATTTATTTTAATGAAATAAGCTGTCCAAGATAAAATGGGAAAGTTAGTTAAGCTTCTAGAAACCCTGACATCAGGAAAAGATATTTCCAAGCAAATAAATGAATCACTGTTAGAGAAGACTCTTTGATGCTTAGATTTGCCTTTAATTTAAATCTTAGAAGCAGAAGCCCAGCAAGATCTTTTGTGTGTGTTGTTTTATGAATCAATAAATGGAATAACAGGCCTGAAAAACCACAAAAATAACACATCTTAAATAAATTCCCTCGTTGATGCTAGCTGGATTTCCATCATAATGAACTGCACCATTCAGACCACATAAGAGCTCTGCCTGACGTGTTTGTCAGGAATTCCCTCATATCTTCCTATTATATCTTTCTTTTGTTTCTCTTACTGCAGACATCCTTATTGCTACTCAACATGCAAAAGGGCTGTATGCTATATTTAAACTTACTGGAATCTAATTAAAAAGTTTTTGGTTTGGTTTTTTTTTTTGTTTGTTTGTTGGGTTTTTTTTCATTTATAATCAAAATCCTATATTTACCCAAATTCAGTTTTCATACCTTCTGGATTTCTATGTTCCTCCCCTTTTAAACAAATCTATCCTGAACAAATTAAACACAAACTTTTCCGAGGCAGGAATGCAGAGCCCTGTCATTTGCTGTCCACTTCCCTGCAATGTATTTTATATTTAGGCTCCCACCCTACAGAATACAATTAAGAAAATGAGTGTTTAATAGTGGAAGACCTACAGGGTCAGGGTGGGTGGAAGATCAGTTTTATTATGTAGTAACTTTTCACAACACTTACAGGTTGAAGCAGGTAAATCAGTGAGCACTCCTGGATAACTATCACTGGAAAAGGAGTGATATTTGTTGCATGAAAAAGTGTTTCCACTGATGCCATTGTTTGGTCAAAGCGTCCACCAAGTCCGCCCAAAGTCACAATCACATCGATCTAAAAGATAAAAATGGTCACCAAGAAAACTTTCAGGTGTGATTTCTAGACCCTGAAAATCAACAATAAAATCACTTTGGGAAAAAAAAAAAAGAAAAAATAACTACTGACTATACAAGAGCAAATGTCAAATACAGTTATTTACTCCCATTACCAATAAATACCATTATGTGATTTTTGAGGCCGAGTATTAAAGCTCAGTAAATTCATGGCCAACATGTGGTACTTTTAAAAAGGACATAACTGTTCTGCCTAAAATACAGGCCAGTCTTTCCAGGTACTTATCTGTCTGAATATATAGAGCCTAAGATATAGCACTCCACATCTAAGCTCCTCAGCTAAGTGTGGTATATCTGAACTTTAGCATTGCCAGATCTTAATATCATTTCAGTATTATCCTCACAGTTTACAGAGCGAATAAAGGAAATTTCAAGTTAGGGCCATTATATGTCATTCTTGTTCCTGCCACACAGCATTTTAACATACAAGCAATCCCACTCACACGCTGCTCTACTCAAGATTAGGAGTACTATTGAAGTAGGAGGTTCCGTCCCAAGCGACTGGGACATCATCTCCCAGCTGTCAGGGACAGGAACAGGAGCACTCTCTTGTCCCAGTCCCAGACCCGCAAAGAGCACCACGTGACTGTACGCATTAGGCCACGAAGTTGGACTGCTGCTGCTCAATTCTCTCACACTCCATCAAGACTCTGAACACTTTATTTCCTATAAGCAGAAAGGGAGTATTTAAAGGCCTTGGTTAAGAGCTTTTGGGTCCTCAGATAAAAGGTCACTGAGTGCAAAGTATTATTATTATTACTTCCATAATGTGGATCAGTTATGTTCAGTAATTGTATTTTAAAAAGCTACCACTGAGTAAGTCATATCTAGAGCCCTAACACATTGCAGCTCTGAAGTCTTTAGAATCTGCCTTGACAATGGCCATCTGGTGAAGTTTCCAACTTTATAGGGCTTAAGTCTATGGCTACTGTGATTACATGAAGTTTTACTCAACCCAGGAGCCACATAATGGTGCTCTGTGTAACTGGAATGATGTATTAATAGCATCAGCTTCTATTTTTATTACCAGGGCTAGGGCTTTACGATTCTGTTGAATATTGGTTTGCATGAAAATTAAGCTCTTTTCCTTTTGGTGAAGAATTATACCATCTTTCTCATCACCACCAGGAAAATACTTGAGAAGCCAGAATAGATCAATATAACACATTATATTAGCAGCAAACACTGAAACAAAAAAAATTATTCTTGTACTGCAGACAGCAGGTATTTTCTGTGCAGATTACAGATCACACAGACCTAACATACAACCAATAGAATATGAATGGTAGGAAAAGCTATCTTTAAACAGGAGACAAAACAGCAAAAGGTAAAAAGCATGTGTTCCCAGCTAAGCCATAATATCTTTTCCATTTTATTGATTCCAGTGTAGAAACAAACTGCTTTTGTTTGACTGGTGATGACTGCGATTTAAAAATCAATTCTCTGAAACTAATGCAACTAAAAAGACCCACCAACACCAGCTCCCTACCAGACAACTAGCAGTAAAAATGCTGCCCACCCCAATAGAGGTTGTGGGGAAAATCTGCTACATTAACCTGGAACTGCAGTGAAGCTAAGGTGGCTTTGCAAAGGATCAGGATCCACATGTATGGTTTTTTTTTCTTGTGAGCAATGGGACCGAAGCTTAAATATTAGCCTAGCCTAGCCTAGTTTTCAAAAAGCCAAGCAACTACTGTATAGTTTCTTGGTATATATGTCTCACCATAAGTGAACTTGTTTCTTTTGGCTTTGATGTTTTCTACAGTTTAAAAGATAAGAATGAAGGAAACACAGAGTTCCCTCTGACTTGTAATTAAAATGATGCAATAACATTCTGAATGTGTCATCTTTCCATTGTAAAACTGTCAGTATGTCAGAAAAATCCTGCTCTGTTATTTACACATGTGTAGTTACCATGAAGTACAGCACCAATCTCAAACAATGAAGTGCACAGTGACTGCAGCTTTTTGTGATAGAGATTTGAAGAAAAACATAACAAAAAAATACTTCTGTATTTTAAAGTATTACAGAAGTCATCCTGAAGTCCTACTCCTTATCTAATAGCAACAGCGCAGTGATCTTGTAGATTGTTTCCAAAAAGTAAGAAAACAAAACCAATCTAGCATGGAGTAGATCTGTTGAAAAGGCATTCATAAAACAGAGGCTTGGGGTTGTGGCGTGTTGGGAGAAGGCTAATAAATATATCTGAAAAGGGAATGCAGCTATTATTTAAGATTTGCATGGATTGTGAAAATGAAAAACACAAATATGTGACAGGTACGCAAACAAACCCAGCTGGAGTATGAGAGGAGCAGGCAGAAAGAAAAGCTAAAATTCTGCACTTCTGTGACGGCTGACAGTCCTGCCTTTCACTAGATAGTCTTGGCAGCAGTGACAGGCATCCAGACATTGTAAGGGCTTTTAGAGCCTCTATTTGAAGGTCTAGGTATACACACTTTGTTTATTTAACAAAAACACAGAGAGACTAAGTCCAACAAAAACCTCAAGAGCCTTTTCATCCCAAAGCTATCACCCCCATTAAAAAAACCCACCCAACACAAAAATCACAAACTAACAAAACAACCAGTTCCTTCCCTGCAGTCACTGTTCCTCTTGCTCTGCCAAGCACTTAAGAAAACGGATGTGCCATGAAAGCTCATACACGACTCTTGGTCATTCCAGAACCTAAGACAAAGTGAATACCAAAGCACAGGACGTTTATATATTCCCATACTGCAGACAGGAAAGGCCATTCATTTTTCTACTATGATTTCCTGTATAACACAGGCTACTGTTACTGTTAATCAGCACAGCAGGTAGCATTTGACTAACACACTTCGCTTCAATTGAAATGTCCATGCTTCACTGAAATGTCCTGTCACCAGTCCCCTTACACAATTTGTTTTCACGGTGTCATTCATTTCCTGAAAAAAGGATATAAAATCCTAAATAACTACAAAGAATAGCTTGGATCATTGCAGGCATAGTGTAGAGGGCACTGTATTCTCTTAGACTATCTATAACCTGACTTAAACATATTGCACAGCATCTTTGAAGGCTATTGAACTTTAATTTAGAAAGAGTTGAAGATCTAAGGGTGGGATTCAGTCATGTTTAAATGATACCTTTATACATTAGTATCTCTTGAAAGAGTTTTAGGAGTCACTACTAAACAGCAGGGCAGTTAAAAGGAGAAGGGAAGCATAAAGAAAGACTTTGTGCTGGCAATTCAGGGATGTATTTCTTCCTTCTCCCCTAAGCTGTAATTTAGAGGGTGCAGTAACCAAGAGGAGCCATGGCTGCCACCATGTCAGAATGAAGTTGCTCAGGTTCCTGCTTCCACTCTCACGGAGACTATTGAAATGGACAACTTGCTGTAAACTGTTTGCAGGCTTGCTAAACACTATCTTTCTGTGAAAACTCATCCAGCCAACATTCCTCTTTCTGGTATGGATGGGTTAAATACAAAGATTTTCACTATACGATTGAGGAACACGTATTCAAGGAGAAGGGTGAAAGGACACAGGAAGCTGGGAACTTGCCTGGGGTGGGTCAAAAGAGTGCAGTATCTAGCTTTGTAATGTCAGCATCACCATGACATCTAAGAGCAAAGTCCAAGGCTCGAACTGACAGCAAAGGATGCCCATTCTTTCCAAAACTGTGCTCAGTTATCTCTGATAAGAAATCCTCTCCCCAGGGTATGGGTAGGGCTCTGGACAGATAACTCAAAGGATTTTCTTCCACATGAGCTCAGTTTCAGCCAGACAACTTGCAAACAAACATGCCTAAGTCTCAGAGAGGTGGGTAGGTGAAAGGGAACACATTACTGACAACAACCACTAGCACTGAATGAATTGTGAAAAAGACCTCCCCTAAAGGAAAAAGGGAAGGCGACAATAATCAAGATGTTGTAAAAGCTCTGGAGCCATGAATAAACCTCCCTTCCTCTGAGACCATAGAGACCACCCACTGCTAATACCTAAGATATTTCTATGACAACTAGAGGTCAGATATTGTATCTGATTCGAACATAGCTTCCTTTTTTCACCTTCTCACTTCACTGATACCTTTTCACCTTCCACAGCATTTCTTAATTTCCTACCATTCATAAGCCTATTCCTTTAATTTAAAATTTTTGGGGAATATGATATAGAGAATAAAATTATTGTAGTAACATGCACAGTATGTTGAAGTATATGCTGAGATATATATATATTGAAGTATCTTATATGTTGAAAAGCAAACAATTAAGTAGCAGTGTGAATGCTACATTTATTACTACTTTATCACTTTGACACTTTATCAATTTTGACCAGTTTACAAGAAAAGCATTTTTTTTTTCTTCATAAGACAATTTTGTCAACTCAGGATATGGTTTGAAAATCCAGATATATCCTTTCTGGTCTCTGCATCAGCTTCAGTACTGAAGACTTCAAAACACAGCAAGCACTTTCCCTGATAACAAATGAGCCAGAGTAGATTTCAGCCTATTATCCCATAGCTGTATTAGAGCTCTTGTGCTGGCCAGATCACAGTCATTTTTTTATATCATCCACAAAATTGCAATGTAAATTTAATGAACTATTAAAATCCCACAACCCAATGCTGAATACATAGCAAGATATAGTCCATTTTAGTTGATTATACTGGCTCTCTAGCTCAGTGTTTTACATAAAATGTATGGCATTCATTTCCTATGGGAATGATATACCCAGCCACACAGCAGGATCTGAACTTTGCTCAGGTAGAATACTCTTTAGCCAGAATTTGCTCATTGCTTCAGCCATCTGACTCTTCATGGGAACGACAGCTCTCAGCTGAAGGCTGCCATCCTGTCTGTGTACCTGAGATGATAAACTTCAAACAGCTTCATCGTGACCTCACTGATTCCACTAATCTTTGTACTGTATTGTTCCAGCTCCTTCACAAAGCATTTCTTAC